CACTGACACTGTCCCCCTACACCCGCAACTCCTCCCTCCACAAGCACCCTCCCCCCCCCCCACACCCCCCCCCACCCACACCCCCCTCCCCCTGCACTGACCCCTATCCCCACATGCACTGACCCCTTCCCCCAATATGCACTGACCCCCTTCCCCAGTATGCACTGACCCCCTACCCCCTACATGCACTGACTCCCTCTCCTGTACATGCACTGACCCCCTCCCCCAACATGCACTAACCACCTTGCTTCCAGATGCATTGACATCCCTCCCCCAATATGTACTGATCACTCACATCCAAATGCACTGACACACACCCATGACCTGCACCAACCCCTTCCACCCACACACACTGATTTTCCTCTCCCCCCTACACGCACTGATCCCGCTTACCCCCCCACAGGCACTGACCCCTCTCTCTCTCCATATCTACCGATCCCCTCTCCGTCTCCTCTGCCCTTGACATTAGAATTCTTTTCAGTGTTTGCATTTCCTGGTTGATCACCTCCTGCAACAATCAGGAGAGATTAAAGATTTAACCATTTTGAATCAATATTGTGCCATAGGGAGGTGTTTTGGGGAAGTACAAGTACAAAGAACTAAGGGAAGGGTCATTAAAAAAACTGGAAGGAAGAAGAGATTAAATATCAACAGGAACAGCAGCATGGTGGCTCAGTGGTTAGCACCACTGCCTCATAATGCCAGGGACCTGGGTTCAATTCCAGCCTCAGGTGACTGTCTGTATGGAGTTTGCATGTTCTCCCTGTGTCCTCCAGGTGCTCTAATTTCCTCCCATAGTCCAAAGAAATGCAAGTTAGGTGGACTGGCCATGGGAAGTTGCCCATAGTGTTCAGGGATGTGTAGGCTAGATGGGTTAGCCATGGGAAATGTGGGCTTACAGGGATAGTTAGTGTTGGTGCAGTGCTCTTTAGAGGATTGGTGTAGACTTGATGGGCTGAGTGGCCTGTTTCTGCACTGTAGGGATTCTATGAATATGGTGGGGAAAAACAAAAAAGGGAGTTAGTAATGGAATGGGTAAAGAAGTGACATATGGGTCTCGGAAATTGCTGAACTATAAACAAAAGGAGGTACATTTTACTCCTGTGATAATCTATAGATTTTGGTTTTGGAATGTGATACCCAATGCATTACATCTATCTGGGAATCCTGGATTATTGCTGTAAATTTGTATGCCTGGGAAATTTACAAGCTGTTTTTAAGGATCAAAAAAGTTTCCTGTGTTGCTCAACTTTCAGATCTCCTCCCTGAACGTACAGCTGGATCAGGCCAGGAGAGAGCTGGAATCTTTCCAGGAGCAAAGGTCTCGGCTCCATGGACAAGTAAACTCCATCGAGGGACTAAGAACGCAGATTCCAAAAGGCTTCATCTCTCAGGTAGGGAGCTTACCTGACACCAGGAATGTCTTTCTGCAGGAGAGGAACAACATGGGCAAAAACTGGTTGATACTGAGATCTTGTTAAGCATTTTTAACCCTATCAGTTCAGTTCACAAGAGCAAGGCTGATTGGATAATTCTTTCAAAGAGCCAGTACAGACAGGTGGGCCAAATGGTCTGTTTCTGTGTTGTGCTGTAATCCAATGCACCCTGAATGTTCTCCCATATTTTATCCTCTGTAGATGTGAAGTCATGCACAATTCTGCTGCCTATATCTAAACTTGTGATTCGTCCCATTTCCCTATCACCCCTTGCATTCACTGACCTACAGTAGCTCCAAATCAAGCAAAATCTAGATTTAAAAATTTTCAACCTTGTTTTCAAATCCCTCCTTTCTCACCCCTCCCCATCTCTTTCAACCCCAAAACTCTCTAGGATGTCTGTCATCTATTTTTGGCAGGTTAAGAAACTCTGATTTTAATCATTCTGGAATTTGATTCCAAATGCATTACCATCTGCCTGGGAATCCTGGATTATTGCTGTAAATCTGTATACCTGGGAAATTTACAAGCTGTTTTTAAGGATCAAAAAAGTTACCTCTTTCTCAAATTTTAGATCTCCTCCCTGAACGTAAGCTGGATCAGGCCAGCAGAGAGATGGAATCTTTCCAGGTGCAAGACTTTTAGCTGCCAGGGCCCCAAGGCCTGGAGTTCTCTTCCTAAATCTCTCCACCTCTAAAACTTCTCTTTCCTCCTTTAACACACTCACTGAAACCTAACTTTTTGATAGAACTTTTGGTCATCTGATCCAATATCCCTTCATGTGTCTCGGTATCACATTTTGTTTTATAATGCCCCAGTAAAGCTCCTTGGAATGTTCACTTACATTTAGTAAAATGCTCTTTCAAAATATAAGTTGCCTTTGTAGTATTCCAAGCTGCTTGGTGGCGTATTCTGCAAGTAACACAAACTGGCCTCTGGTATCTTATGGCCTCATGCCGCCTCTTCCAGGAGGATCACTGGGAATCAGTCATAGGAACAGGAAGAGACCATTCATCTACCAGGGCCTGTCCTACCACATTCAATTATCTGGCTCCTCTGTACGTTAACTCCATTTATCCACCTTGGTTCTGCACATTGAAAGCTCTTGTTGAGCTAAAGTCTACCGATCCCTGTTGTCATGTTTTAGGTTTCGCCTCCCTGCCTCAAAAGTGTTTCTGCCACTAGGAGTCCCAGATTTCTACTCCCACTTGGGTGAAAAAAGTGCTTAAAGTGCTTCCAAACGTCGTCCCTGATTAGCTCAGCTTGAATTTCAATATTACGCCCTCTATTGTTCAGGACTCACATTCCTTCCCCTCGCCCGGCCAAAGAAATTTCTCTCTATCCTATCAATCCTTTAATTATCAACCCCTCAATTTTCTATACTCCAGGACATGAAAGGCCCCTGTGCCTCTTTCTCCTCTCGCTTAACCAAATGGTACTGAGATTATTTTGCCTAGCCCCACACAATATTTGGCTCTCATCCCTCCAGTCTCTTCAATTTCAGGAAACCTGTGAGCGTAACTTCAGGGAGATGGAGGAGTCCCATCGGAAAGCAATGGAGGAACTTCAACGGCAACATAAACGGGAGTTAGAGAAGGTCCAGCAAGACAAGGACCGACTGTTATCCGAGGAAGCTGATGCCACCATTTCTGGTAAGAGCAGGGTGTCACAGATCCAGTACGCTCAACGTTAAGGGATGGAGGGAGATAACAGGAACTGCAGATGCTGGAGAATCTGAGATAACAAGGTGTAGAGCTGGATGAACACAGCAGGCCAAGCAGCATCATAGGAGCAGGAAGGCTGACGTTTCGGGCCTAGACTCGGGCCTGCCGTGTTCATCCAGCTCTATACCTTGTTATCTCAAGGGATGGAGGGAGGCAGCTTTTGATCACACTGTGGGTCTAAAGTAATCCGCCTGGTAATATTTTCATTAAGGGTTTATGTTTTACCCCCTCCTCCCACCCTATCTTCTGCATAAAAACCAGCCTTTTCATAGCTACCATCAGTTCTGAGGAAGGGTTGTTGGATCTGAAACATTAACTCTGATTTCTCTCCACAGATCCTGCCAGACCTGCTGAGTTTTTCCAGCAATTTGTTTTTGTTTCTGATTTCCTGCATCTGCAGTTCTTTCGGTTTTTATTCACTGGTTTATAATTCCTTGTTTTCTCTGTACCTCCATTTTTAAATAGTGGGGTTACATTAGCTACTCTCTAATCTGTTGGAACTGTTTCAGAGTCTAAAGAATTTTACAAGATAACCACTAATGCATCCACTATTTCTAAAGTCACTTCCTTAAATACTCTGGGATGAAGATTATCAAACCCTGGGAATTTATCAGACTTTCATCCCATCAATTTCCCCAGTACCATTTACCTACTAATACAGATTTGCTTCAGTTCCTCCCTCTCACTAAACTCAGTGTTCCCCACCATTTTTGGTACATTATTCATGTCCTCTTCTGTGAAGACAAATGGGAAGTATGAATTTAGTTCATCAACCGTTTCTTTACTCCCCATTATGAATTCACCCATTTCTGACTGTAAGGGAGCTACATTAGTTTTCACCAATCTTTTTCTTTTTACATACCTATAGAAACTTTTAGAGTCAGTTCTTAAGTATCCCCGCCCCCAAGTTTTTTCCTCCTTCACAATTAATTCCTCGGTCCTCCTTTATTGAGTTCCAAACTATTCCCAATCCTCAGGTTATTGTTTTTTATCTTAGCAATTTGTATGCCTCATTTTAGCGTCTCACTTCCCTTGTAACCATGGTTTGGCTACTGTTTTTTTGCACTCTTGTGCCAGACGGGAATAAACAATTTTTGTAGATCACCCATTTGCTCTTTGAATGTCTGTCTGCTATTGCCTACCCGTAGTCATTCCTTTCAGTAATATTTCCCAGTCCATCATAGCCAATTCATGCCTCATACCATCGTAGTTTCCCTTATTAAGTTTCAGGATTCCAGTCTTAGAATCAACTACCTCATGTCGAGTTTGAAGAATTCTGTCATATTGTGATCACTCATCCCCAAGGGAGACTCTTTCAACTATATTGCTCAGTCTAAGATGCCTGTTCTCTCATTGTGTCCTCAACATATTGGTCCAGAAAACCATCCCATGTACACTCTAGGAATTCCTCCTTTCTGATATTGTGACTAATTTACTTTGTCCAATCTATATATAGATTAAAGTCACCCATAATTACAAACGTTCCTTTACCACATGTATCTTGAATTTCCTGTTCAATGCTGTCTCCAATATCACCACCACAGCTGGTGGTCTCTATACCACCCTCACTAATGTTTTTGCTCCCTGATATTTCTCAATTCTACCAACACAGACTCTATATTGTCTGAGCTAATAAGTTTGCTCAATGTTGTGTTTCAACCAGTAATGCAAATCCACTGCCGTTTCTTTCTTGTCTATCCTTCCTAAATACTGAATACTGAATAGCCCTGGATATTTACTTCCCATCCCTGGTCACCCTGTAGCCCTATCGTCGTAATCCCACTGTATCATAATTTATCCACTTTATTTCAAATGCTCCATGTATTCAGGCACAAAACCTTAAAGTTTGTCTCTTTAACGTTCCTTGTCCTATTCCCACTATTTTTTTACTATGGCCTTGTTTGATTCGAGCCTTTGACTCTTCTGCCTTTCACTTCTGTTATTCCTTTTTCTGTCTTTTGTATTTGTCCTTGATTCTCCTTCTTCTGACTTCTTGCATTGGTTCCTATTCCCCTGCCAATTTAGTTTAAAACTTCCCAACCATTCTAGCAAATACTCCTCCTAGGGCATCAGTCCTGGTCCTGCCCAGATGTAACCTGTCCAGTTAATCTTGGTCCCACCTCCCCTAGGTCTCAATGCTGATGAATTGGAAACCCTTCTCCTCACACCATCTCTTCAGACACTTCTTCGTCCTATATATCATGCTATTTCTACTCTGACTAACACATGGCATTGGTAGTAATCCTGAGACCACTACCTTTGAGTCTGACTTTTCAGTTTGCTTCCTAACTCCCTTTATGATGCTTGTAGGACCTCATCCCTTTTTTTGACCTGTGTCGCTGGTACCAATGTATATCACCACCACTGGCTGTTCACCCTCCCCCTCCAGGATGTCGTGTAGCAGCTCTGAGACATTCTTGACCCTAGCACCAGGGAGGCAACATGCCATTCTGGAGTCTCATTTGCGGCCACAAAAAATGTCTGTCTATACCCCTTACAATTGAATCCCCCATGACCATTGCATTTCCACACTTCTTTCTCCTCCCCTGTGCAGCAGAGCTAACTATGGTACCACGAACTTGTCTGTTGCTGTTTTCTCCTGGCGTGATGCAACTCACACTTAGCCAATAGAAAATAAGACTCAACCCGCAGTCACTGTTGTAATATAAAAATATGCAGCCAATTTGCAGGCTCCCCCAAACAGCACTCTGACAATAACCGGTTGATTTGTTTTAGAGATGTTTATTGTATAATGGCTAGGACTCCAGAATATTTGACGTGCAGCGGAGAGAAGGCAGGATCTTGGTTTCTCATCTCATCCATGAGAGCACACAGCTAACAGTGCAGAGATGAGAGTGCCCCCACTAAGCCAAGGCTGATTGCAAGCAACCTCACGAATGGCACTGCTGCCTGTCAGCCAATTAAGATAGATTTGCTGACAGGTGATGACTAAGGTGCCCATGGCCATTGCAGGAAACTTCAGTGAGCTAACTTTCCAACTATATGAGCTCTCTGATGTCAATGACATTTCTGAGGAAAATTTTCAAAGTCTCTGATTAGTCCCATTTCACCCTGATTTACCACACAGCAGTGAGAACCAGTTTCATCTGATTTAAAATCTTAAACATTATTCTTAGCTGCTTTTTAGTACTTCATTTTCATTTTGAAGTACAGGAAGTGGTGTTTGACAAAACGTACGTGAGTGTTTTGAGGATACAGATGGTTCAATCTTGGTTTCCGGAAAAACTGTTTAATAAAAAGATAATCTGGGTCAATGTAAGCCATTAATAGTGACCCTAACACTAATTCCAGTGACCCCGAATATGTCTTGGGTTTTGTCAATCTCTTCACCCATTTCTTTCCTTTATGTAATCCTTGTTGATTCTACAAATCTACGTGATTCGCACCTCTTCCATAATATGAAAATCTTCCCTCATGGTTTAATTAAAGAAGTGTACTTTCTGTTTCCAGACTCTCTCTTTGAAATTAGTCATTCACCAACATCTGTGTTTGAATGAGCACAGAGGCATTCTTGAATGAGCACATGAGCCAATATGGTGAAGATTAGTGAGAAGCCAGAGAATAGTCTTTGAAAACTAGCAAAGAACAATGAGACAAGCAGTAACAGGGTAAAAGATATAATATGAGGGTAAGCTAGCTATTAATATAGAAGAAGATTGCAAGAGTTTTTGTAGATATATGAAAGGTAAAAGATAGGGATCAGTGGCCATTAGACTGCTGGAAAATAAGGTTGGAGAAGTAAGAATGGGGAACAAAAAAGTGGTGGAGATGTTGAATAAGTACTTTGCATCATTCTTTACGGTGGAAGACACCCATAGCAAGCCAGAGCTTCGACAGAGGTGAGTGTAATGGCTATCACTAAGGACAAGGTTCAGGGGAAACTGAATTGTCTGAAGGTGGATAAATCACCCGGACTGGTCTGACTACACTCTACAGCTCTGAAGGAGATAGCTGAGGAGATTGTTCAGGCATTGGTGGTAGTCTCTCAGGAATCACGGGAGTTAGGGAGAGTCCCAGAGGACTGGAAAATAGCTAATGTAACACCCCTGTTTAAGAAGGGAAGAAGGCAGAATGTAGGAAATTATAGGCCAGTTCGACTGACCTCAGTCTTTGGTAAGATTTTAGAGACAATTGTTAAAAATGAGATTGCTGAGTACTTGAAAGTGCATTGTAAAATAGGGCTGAGTCAGCATGGCTTCATCAAGGGGAGGTCATGCCTGACAAATCTATTAGAATTCATTGGGGAGGCAATGAGCAAGTAAGAGAAAGTAAAGACAGTGGACACAATCTATGTGGATTTCCAGAAGGCCTTTCACAAGGCTACTAAATAAGAGATGGTGTTAGGAGCAAGGTGCTGGCATGAATAGAAGATTGGGTGATTGGCAGAGGCAGAGAGTGGGGATAAAGGGATCTTTTCCAGGATGGTAGCCTTGAACCTGGGCTTCCCAGTCCAGGGGTAGGGACATTACTACTGCACCACAAGAAGGCCCTATTAATGTATTTAAACATATTTTCCTAGTCAACCTATTCAGAGATGTTATTACACACCTCTGGAGTTGATGAGACTTGAATCTAGGCCTCCCGGTTCAGGGGTAGGGACACTACAACTGTGCCACAAGACAGCCTCTTATTATTGTCTTTAAAATTAAGTTAAAGAAACTCATTTCAGCTGTGACTGGTTTTTGTTCTGGATTGCAGCCATTGAAGCTGTGAAGAAGGCTCATCGTGAAGAGTTGGAAAGATTGCGGAGCACTCAGAACATTTCAAACAACAGTGATTTGGAGAGGCTTCGCAAACAGCACCAGTGAGTACGGCTTACTCCTTGGGAATTTTGAAATGGTGTGAGTAGGGACCTATAGAGAGAAGCAGCAGGTAACTGAGGGAGTTGTATTTCTTAATGGGGTGTTAATTGTTTTCTAGTCCAAAATGGGAAAGTAGAATTTTATTCACACCCAGTCTTTCAGCAAATTAACTGGAGTCAGGGTGGGACTTAGGCCAGACTGGTAGCAAGAAGTCTGTTCTACAGCAAGCGCTGCCTAATCATTCAGCAAACAGTTACATTAAAGCAAAATATTGCAGCTGCTGGAAATTTGAAATAAAAAAACTGCTGGAGAAACTCAGCAGGTCTGGCAGCATTTTTGGAGAGAGATTCAATTAAAGTCTGTATGAACGACAGCAAACAGAACTTCAAATTCAGCAATGTCTCCTGACAAAAGAAGGATTATTTCTCCATTTGAATGCACTGAGTGGAAGATAATGACTTGCTACAAATTTTGTATCAATCCCAGTCACTTACACAATGTTTCATTTCTAACCTGGTTGGGAATGATAGTGTACAGAGTCTGTCAGGGTATGTTTGGCTGGGAGGACCGATTGTGTTTGTGCTGTTTTGTGTGACATCACTCATCGACGCTTTATTTATTTACTTTGCTGCTTTTCTGTAGGGAGGAGCTGGAGTCACTTCAACGGGAGCTGCAGGTGCTGTCAGAACAATACTCCCACAAGTGCCTGGAGATTAACTACCAGATGAAGGAGACGCAAATGCGGGAGAGGGACCTGTCACGGAGCCAACGAGAAAATGAGGAGCTGCTTCGACAAAACCAGGTAACAGGGGCATGGACAATTGCAATTGGGCAGTGATGCCCACACCAGAAAAGTAGCTTCTCAGAGAAGGAGGAGGATCTTTGAACTAAAATAAGGGACAAGAAAAGGCTTCTCAGCCCATCACCCACTGCTAAGAATCCTGATATTTTATAGATAGTGCCTTTTGGACACACAATGTGAATTCTGGAGGGTCAGCAACCCTAAGCACTACCTGGATTAAATCCTTCCATAGACCTGCCCCCTGCCTTGAGTATTTTTTTTTCTCTTTGGGTCTAAAAGCCAGGATGGTCCTCAACCAGAAAGTGTTGTAAGTACCAATTTTGGGAATTTCGGGGCACCGCAGTGATGCATGCAGACACACAAAATGGCTGTTCTGTCCCTTCCAAGCTCTGCTACAGCTGCCTCACTATGAATCTGTGATGAGTTTGACTGAGAAAAGCTGAATGATGTTTATGGTGGTTAGAATGTAGGTGCTTTGTGGCCATGACTAGTTCCCTCCTCAGATGGTAACCAAGACGAGAGAAATACATCCTGTGGCCTTGTGTCTTGGTGCGTCACCACGGCATCTGGGCAGGTCAGAATTGTCATTTGTCCTTACAGGTTGGGTTCAGAGCATCAGTCGCAGCAAGAAGTGTGAGTGTGGTATTTTGTCAGTTGTCCTCCAGAGAGTAGAACTCCACAATCCAGGCTGACAGTGCAGTGCAGTATTGACAGAGTACTGTACTGTCAGAGGTGCTGCCGATTCTGTCATTAAACTGAGGCTGCACATGCCTCGTTGCCCTTCTAGGTGGATGTAGTCATGGGTTTGGAAAGTGCTATCTAAGAAGTCTTGGTGAATTTCTGCAATACATCTTATAGATGATGAGCAAGCAGTGGTGGAAAGAGTGAAGGTTTGTGAACATGGTGCCAGTCAATTGGGCTGCTTTGTCCTGGATGGTGTTAAGCTTCATGACTGTTATTAGAGCCGCACTCATCCAGGAAACTGAGGAGTCAGGAGTTGTTATCTGCTGCAGAATATCTAACCTCTGATCTGCTCTTGTATATGGCCAATCCAGTCCAGTTTCTGATCTGTGGTAACCCCAGAATGCTGATTTTTAGGGATTCAATAATGATAATGCCATTGATTGTCAAGAGGTGACAGTTGGATTCTGTCTTGTTGGAGATTCTCATTGCCTAATATTTGTGCAGAGCGAACGTACTTTCCACTTGTCAGCTGAAGCCTGGATATTGTCCATGTCTTGATGTATTTGGACGTGGACTGCTTCAATATCTGGGGAGTGGTGAACAATATTGAACATTGTACAATCATCAGTGAACATTCCACTTCTGATCTTATGATGGTCACTGATGAAGTATCTGAAGATGGTTGGGCCAAGGACACTACCCCGAGGAGCACTTGCAAAGACATACTGGAGCTGAGATGACTGATTTCCAACAACCAGAACCATCTACCAATGTGCCAGATATGACTCTAACCAGCAGAGTCTTTTCCCCCAATTCCCATTTACTCTCGTTTTGCTAGGGCACCTTGACACCACGTTTGGTCAAATATGGCCTCTATGACAAAGTCAGTCACTCCCACTTCACCTCTGCCATTCAGTTCTTTTGTCTGCGTTTGCACCAAATCAGTAATGAGGTCAAGAGCTGAGTGGCCCTGGCTAACTCAAACTGAATGTCCAGTTATTGCCAGGCAAGTGCTGCTTGATAGCACTGTTGATGACACCTTCCATCACTTTACTGATGATCAAGAGTAGACTGACGAGACAGTAATGAGCCTGGTTGAGGATTTGTCCTGTTTTGTGTGTACAGGTCATACCTGGGCAACTTTCTACGTTATTGGATAGATATCACTGTTGTAGCTTGGCTAGGGGTGTGACTAGTTCTGGAGTATATGTCCTCAGTACAAGTGCTGGATTGTTGTCAGGCCCACCGGCTTTGCAGTATGTACTGCCTCCAATCTTCTGTTAAGATCATATAGAGTGAATCAAATTGGCTGAAGATAACATCTGTCATACTGGAGCCTCTAGAGGAGGCCAAGATGGGTTAACTACCCTGTACTTAGCACTTTAGCCTTATCTTTTGCATTGATCTGCAGGGCTATCCAATTATTGAGGATTGGGATGTTTGTGGAACTTCTACCTTCAGTGAGTTGTTTAATTGTCCACCGCCATTTACGACTGGATATGGCAGGTTGCAGAGCTTAGATCTGATCAGTGGGCTGTGGAATTGCTTAACTCTGTTGGTTGTATTTTATTTCCAAAGTTTTTATTGAATTCAAATTTCACCATCTGTTAGGTTTTTGCCAACATTACCTGGGTCTCTGGATTGAACTGAATTGAATTGAATGATTTATTGTCACTTGTATTTTACAGTGAATAATAAAGTAAAATACAGTGAAAAGCTTCAATTGTCACCGCAATCCGGCACCATTTTGAATAGTTTAAGAATAAAAAGATATAACTGAAAGAGAGTCTATCTTCATTGTACCACCTCTGCCATGAGTCCTGAGCCCTGAACCGGCTCACCAGTGACATGTGCGCCTCCACCCCTCCTTCAATGACTTGCCACCACCTGCAACGGACCCACTAACATAGGAATCGCCACTGTTTAGGTGTCATCTCTTCATTGCTGGGTCCACCTCACTGACGCTGAAGTCGGGTCCCATGCTGAACCCACACTTGCCCTGCAATCAGGAATCTCCGGTTCCTCTGTCACTGCCACCTCACCGATAACCAGGAATCCCCGCTCCGGGCCTACCACAAGCACCGTCAGGAATCCCTGGCTCCACAGCACCTTGATGATGCCAGGAGTCCCAGCTATTGGCATACTGCAACCAGGAGAACCTGCCTCCACTGCCACCTCACCAAGAGTCCTACTCCAGCCGCCTTCCTCCAAGATGTTGCCTTCTCCAACAGGAAGAAGATGAGAAAAAGACAATAAAGGGAAAAATGATGAAAAGGGTAATGATGAAGAAAGGAAGCGGCTGGTCTGGAGCAGCCGCCTCAGGAGCCCAAACACTGCCTACATTGCCAGTGCCGCCATTGTGGAACCTGCTCCATCGACCGTACCACTAGACCATCACTTCCCTGGGTGATGTCTGCTGCTACCAGCCCCCAAAACTTTCACAAACACAAAACATTGCAGCTATAACTTGTGTTGTTTCCGCCTTTGTATAAATATAGAATGATTGTCACTCTGAAGAGAAGCTGTAATCTTATCTCGACGATTCAGCTGACAGCACAAGTGAGTTTCCTGTTGTCCCCATCCCTTCCTGAGACGCCTGTCTAAGGCTTTCTGCAGAGTCAAGAAAACTTGAGTGCCAGCTCTCAGCACAAGGCCAAGCACCCTTACCTTTCCATCCCCGTACAAGCATTAACCGAACAGACAAACAGGACGTCCTGCCCCTTGGCATCCCGCTGTTCCTCAACAACTTTTCCCAAATTAGGTGAAAAATCCCCAGCCTGGCATAAAGATGTCTCTTATTTGTCACAGTACCCACAGTTTAAATCATTTCTTGTGTTAACTTTGTATCAAACCGTGAGAAGGAGCCTCCCAAGATGGCCTTCACGTTGTGAAAAGTATGTAGAAGCACTAGAAAACATGTTGTAAAACCAAATCTTTTTATTTTTCTTTATTTTTTCATTATTGACCAAATATGGGAAGAAGTCCTGCTTTAAACTAAGCAAACTGGAAAAGGGATGTTTCAGTTTTAAAACAAATTACTGGAACTCATTGTGAGTTGTATTTACACTGATTCTTACTTGAAGCAGTGGGGAGAGAATTGCTGGACTCATCAGCACCGTAGGCGTGTGTTCAGGGCAGTTTTGCTCAGAGGCTGTCTATTGTTTAGTTTTTCAATCAGGACCAACTCATTGGGTTAGGAATGTTCAATATGGCAACAACTCACTGTTTGGCTCCTGGGCAGATGGGCTGCCTATGTGTAAACAATACAGGGGTAGAAAGCTTCCAGACTCTAAAGAGAGGGCATCTCTCTCTTTCTTTGTAAAGAAGTGACAAAGAATTGGAAGATAGCTAACTATTCTCACTCACAATTTGCCTAAAATCTGTTGCCTCTCACCAGTGAATGAGATGCTAAACAATTAGCGTGACAACCATCCCGTGATTGCAGTAAGGAATTGTGCGGAACTGAAAAGAGGATATCTGAGATCAGAAGGACTCAGAGAAGCAAAACAAATTGGAACTCTGTAAGATAAATGGTTTAATTAATGATATTTATATTCCTTGTAATTGTGTATCAATTTATCATATTAACAATTGAGAGACCATAAAACCATGATAAGGAGAGAAATAATTGAGAGAATATTGAGGTGTTGGTGGTGTATGATAATGTTACCAACAGAATGGTAATTCACAGCCCCAGGATAATGTTCTGGGGACATGAATGTGAATCCCACTATGGCAGATAATGAAATTTGAATTTAGCAGAATCTGGAATTGAAACCAAGTGTAATGGCAACGATGTAACCATCTCGTTCGCCGATGTCCTTTATGAATGGAAATCCCAATCTGGTCGGCCTGCATGACTCCAGACTCTCAGTGATGTGGTTGATTCTTAACTGCCCTCTGAAACAGCTGAGAGAGCCAATTGATTTAAGCAAGACTATGGAGATGGCAACAAATGCCAAGTTTACTAGTGATAACCACATTCCATACAAAAATAAAAGGGGAGAAAAGTTGATTAAAGTGTTCAAGTTATGAGTAGGTTTAGTGAAACTGTTACCACTGACACAAAGATCAAGAACCAGAGGATGCTGATTTAAGGTGATTGGCCAAAGAACCATCAGTGACATAACCAAACTCATTTTTGTAGAAAGTGGTTAGGATCTGGGATGCACTCCTGAGAATTTTTTCAAACCAAATCTAATCATGGCCTTCCAAAGGCAATTGGATAATAACCATAAGAGAAATAATTTGCAGGGTGATAGGGAGAAGGTGAGGGGATGAGATGGCTGTGATGTCCTTGCGGAGAGTCAGCACAGACACATATGCTGAATGGCCTGGTGTAATCATTCTCTGATTCACTAACTAAATATCCCAAAGTAACTTGGAGTGAATGGCATTGGCGGAATTGTAACTGTAGGTTTGTCTTGATCCAGTTTCTCGCAGCTGTCTCATGTCTCAGTGTTTTCCCTCTTGATTGTAACTGTGCATATCTTTGCGCTGAGAGCATTGTGGCCAGAAGTCCTCTTGACAGGGAGCTGTCTGATTACATGGATACACACAGACAGACAGACAATTATCAGCAGAGCAAAACAAGAAATTTTCAAAGAAACTCAGCAGGTTTGGCAGCCAGCTATGGAGAGAAAGCAAAGTCAGCGTTTCGGGTCCAGTGACTGTTCTTCAGAACTCAAAACATGTTGACTCTGCATTTACTCCACAGATGCTGCCAGACCTGCTGAGTTTCTCCACCAATTTCTGTTTTTGTTTCAGATTGACTCACCTCCTAATTACAATGTTTCTGTCTTGTCTTTTGCAGGAGCTGAATGGCCAGTTATCAGAGGAGATTGCCCGAATACGTGCACTTGTGACAGGAAAGAACCATGATAACATTGGGAATTTACCTGTCACTGGTGACAGAGATACCTGTGAATTGGAGGTAAGACAGGAGCAGGTGGTGCAGACTTTTTGTTGAACCATACACCATTTCACAAAAATCAGTTCAAAACTTTGGGAGTCAATTCAGCCCATTGTATCTACACTGGCTGTTTAAAGACCTACCTAATCGGTCCCACTACCCTTTTCTTTTTCCTGCATAACCCTAAGAACCTACTGACCGAAACATTGTTAATAAATATTTATATCACTATGCATCAAGTTCCCCAGAATAAAAGGGAATTGATAAATGCTTAATACAGGAAAGATTTGAAAGGCCCTGGGCCAAGGAGTGGGGCAAATTGGTTAGCTCCTTTAAAAATTGGCCACACTTTATATGGAATGATACTATGATCTGAATCTACAACAGTAATTGTTGTTACGTTAGCAAGCACAATCCTACAAATAACGGTGGTATGACATTAATGAAGGGTGAAATCGTAGCCAGGAATTTAGATACCACCATGGATCTTTAAAGTCCACATGCAGCAATTGGAAGAGTTGATGGGCCTCATTGTAATGTTTCTATAGCAAATGAAGTCTGTCCAGTTTCAAGTTATAACTACTGGTGTATTACTAGGAAATAGCAAGAACTGCAGATGCTGGAGTCAGAGGCAACATAATATGGAGCTGGAGGAACACAGCAGGCCAGGCAGCATCAGAGGAGCAGGAAGGCTGACGTTTCGGGTCGGGACCCTTCTTCAGAAATGGGGAGGGGGAAGGGAGCTGGGAAATAAATTGAGAGAGGAGGGGTGGGGCTGGGGAAGGTAGGTGGGATGGTGATAGGTGGATGCAGGTAGGGAGTGGTGGGGATTGGTTGGTGGGATGGGTGGGGCGGATAGGTGGGGAAGAAGATGGACTGGTTGTATCAGTTCAAGGAGGCGGAAGGGAGGGTGGGTGGGGGTGGGGAAAGGTAGGTGGGGTGGTGATAGGTTGGATGCAGGTAGGGGGCAGTGGGGATTGATCAGCAGGAAGGGTAGGGTGGATGGGTAGGGAAGAAGATGGACAAGTTGTGTCAGGTCAAGGAGTGGGGGTGCTGGAGAGGGGGGATGAGGGGGAGGGTTGGACATGGGATGAGGCCGGGGCTGGGGAGATTTTAAAACTGGTGAACTCTATGTTTAGGCCATTGGGCTGCAGGCTCCCAAGGCGGAATATGAGGTGTTGCTCCTCCAACTTGCATGAGGTGTCATTGTGGCACTGGAGGAGGCCCAGAATGGACATGTCACCCAGGGAGTGGGAGGGCGACTGGAAGGTTTTATCATTATTAACTTTGATATGAATTATTATTAACTACTATTATTAACTTTGATCTGAATTGGGAGCTGAGCTTATTTTAGAATAACGTTTTCTGGGGATTGTCAACTTCAGATGAATATATCTCTGGAGGTTAAAATGAGCATAAGCATTAGGAGAGAGCATTCGGTCCTTGGTCCTGATACATCATTCAATAAGATCATTGGTCGAAGTGACTCCACGTTCTAGCCTGTCTATGAATAACCTTTCCTTGTCAATCAAAAATCTATCTCAGTCTTGAATATATTCAATGACCCAGCCTCCGCTGTTCACTGAGGAGGAAAATTCCAAACACTGACAACCTTCAGAAAGAAAAAATGTCTTCCTTATCTCATTCCTCCTGTTTCCTACCACCCCACCTGCTACAATGCTGCCATTGGTCACAAAGCACGTCAGTCTTCATAAATTGGCCTTCCCATAGCCAATCAGAAAACAACAATTATAAAATACCATGGCTGCTGGATGAAAGGATTTGATGAACGTTATCAACCTGAAACATTAACTGTTTCTCTCCACACAATGCTGCTGAAGTTGCTGAGTATTTCCAATGTTTTTTGATCCCAATCATTGAACTGTTCTGTTATCCATGGATCACCAGCTGCCATCCTGAAAAAGATCCCTTTATCCCCAGTTTCTACCTTCTGCCAGTCAGCCAATCCTCTATCCATGCCTAAAACCATGAGCTCTTATCTTATTTAGCAGCCTCCTGTGTGGCACCTTGTCAAAATTTGTCTAGAAATCCAAACTGATTGTGTCCACTAGCTGTCCTTTGTTTAACTTGCTCATTACCTCCTCAAAGTATTCTAACAGATTTGTCAGGCATGACCTCCCCTTGATGAAGCCATGTTGACTTCAGTTCTATTTAGCCATGCACTTCCAAATACTCTGCAGTCTCATCCTTAATAATGGACACTAAAATAATTAAAACAACTGAGGTCAGGCTAACCAGCCTATAATTTCCTGTCTTCTGCCTCTATCCCTCCCTTCTTGAGCAGAGATTTTACATTAGCTTTTTTCCAGTCCTCTGAGACCCTCCCTGACTCCAGTGATTCCAGAAAGGTCACCACCATTGCCACCACAATCTCCTCAGCTATCTCCTTCAAAACTCTGGGGTGTAATCCATTTGGTCCAGATGATTTATCCACCTTCGGACCTTGAAATAACTCCACAGAGTTGTCTACAGAAATAACTCCACAGACCTTGAAATAACTCCCATCACCAAGTTACTTTTTGTTTACATGTGGAAAGACCTTGACATTGATCCAGCTTCGTCAGAGCCAGCTCTCAGAGTGTTAGGATTCTGACCTTTATCTGTCAGCCAGGACTCCCTGATTGGATCAGATTAACAGCGCCAATCAGGGATCTTGAATTCTGTAATGTCTACCAGACTGACCACATTACAATCACTACAGATCTTTTATCTTCCCCAGTACCTTTTTCCTTAATGATGGCCATTACACTCACCTCTGCCCCATGACTCTCTTGAAGTTCTACTATTCTGCTGGTGTCTTCCACTGTGAAGACTGATGCAAAGTACCTATTCAGTTACTCTGCCATTTCTTTGTTCTCCATTACTACTTCTCTAACCTCATTTCCAGCAGTCCAGTGTTCACTCTTGCCTCTCTCTTACCTTTTTATATATCTAAAAAAAACTGCTACAATCTTCTTTTATGTTACTAACTAGCTTACCATCATATTTCACGTCCTCCCCATTATTGTTTTTTTAATTGCCCTCTGCTGGTTTTTATATGTTTCCCAATCCTCTGACTTCCCACTAACCTTTACCAGATTGTAATCCTTTTCTTTAGATATTTTCTAATCAACCTGGTCAAAGATGTTATTTCACATCTGTAATGACGGTGGGACTTGAACCAGGGCCTCCTATTTCAGAGATAGGGACACCACAGCTAGACCATTAGAGCCCTTTTGCTTTAATGCTGTCCCTGACTTCACTTGTCAGCCATGGTTGTCTCATTCTGCCCTTAGCATGTTTCTTCTTCCTTGGGATAAATTTCTGCTAGGCCTCACAAATTACCACCCAAAATGCCTGCCATTACTGCTCCACCTTCTTCTCTGATAGGCTCCCCTTCCGATCAACTCTGGTGAGCTCCACCCTCATGTCTTTGTAGTTACCTATAATCAGTTGTAATACATTACATCTGATTCAAGCTGGTCCTTGTCAAACTGCAAGATGAACTCTAACATATTGTGGTCACTGCCCCCCAGGAGTTCCTTCACCTTAAGCTCCTAAATCAAGTCTGCCTAGTTACATATCATCAGATCGAGAATTGTCTGTTCCCTAGTGGGTTCTATCACAAGCTTTGCCATTCAACCATCTCGTAGAAATTCCACAAATTTCTCTTCTTGGGATTCGCTCCCAACCTAATTTTCCCAGTCCACCTGCATATTGAATTCCTCCATCATTACTGTAATAGTGTCTTTCTTACATGGCTTTTCTATCTCTTGATTTATGCTGTGATCCATATCCTCAGTACTGCTAGGAGGCCTGAACATAACTCCCATCAGGGTCATTCTTCCTTTGCAGTTCCTCAACTCTACCCACTCAAGATTCTATGCCTCCTGACCCTATATTGCTTCTTGCTAGCAATTTAGTTTCATTTCTTACGAACAAGGCAACTCTGCTAGCTCTGCCCATCTGCCTGTCCTTTCAGTAGGATGGATATCCTTTGATATCTGGATCCCAGCACTGATCCCCTTGCAGCCACATCTCTATGATGCCCACAATATCATACCTGCCAATTTCACTTTGTGCTATTAGCTCATTTACCTTGTTTCATATACTGCATGCATTTAAGTGCAACACCCTCTGTCCTCCATAGACCGCGTCCCTTTGTTATAGTTGTCCCCTTATTGTTGTGTCTGAAATTAGATTCCTGACCTTTTCCATAATTTCCATCCTATTACTTGTTCTGGATACTTCAATAACCTCTCCTGTGCACCCCCCGAAACTAATTTAAAGTGCTTGTGACCTCAACCTACCTCAATTTGCATCATCAGTTCATCTACCTTATTGCAAGTGCTTCATGCATGAAGATACAAAGTCTTTAAGTTTGTTCCATTATTGAGTTTCCCTACTTTTATGGTTCCTTTGTACCATACGAGATTCACACATTCTGTCCCTTTTTTATTTTCCAGTACCAATCAACCCCATCACTAGCATGCAATTCTACCTTCTCCTTTACCTTTGATTAGCTAATTTTACATGCAACTGAACTTCGTGTCCCCCTCCACTATTTAGTTTAAAGCCCTACCTACAGCCCTTGTTATGTGATATGCCAAGAATGAAGTCCCAGCATGACTCATGGAGCCCATTGCATAGCACAGCTCCCTCCTTCGCCAGTACTGGCACCAATGTCCCATGAATTGAAACATATTTCTCCCACACCAATCTTTGAGCCTCTTTACCTCTTTAATCTTGTTAATCCTGTGCCATTTAGCTCGTGGCTCAGGTAGTAATCTGGTTCTGCTTTTTAACTTACTCCCTAGCTGTTCATATTCCCTCAACAGAACCTCTTTGTCTTTTTGCCTATATTGTTGGTACTTACATGGACAACGATAACTGGATATTTCCCCTCCGACTCCTTGTTCCTCTTCAGCCCAAATGAAATATCCTGAAACCAGCCATCAGGGAAGCAACACAGCTTTCAGAACTTTCGATCCTGGCCACATAAAACACTTGTCTTTTCCCTG